CATCTGACTACTCTGCCATCTTGGCCCCGCTACCCCTAAGATTTGAATTAACCATTTTTAATGGTTTCAGTTTTTTGTGTCAAGGGTCACTCTATTATTTCTGTAAAATCTGTTGTGCATACACTTAGTATAAAAAAATCAAACCATTCAGAATACACAAAAATGAAAGTTAAAAAAAAAAAAATCCCTTAGTAATAACTTTAGTTAGTCATCATTAATATTAGCTTAACAGCATTCCAGATATCTTCTTAAGTAGAATGGGTACATAGAAAGAACAGTTTTATAAAAATGAGATCATACTGTAGACTTTATTAGTTCAAGTTTATTCAAATTTAACAGAAGAAAAGGAAACAAAACTGAAGGATTTGTGGAACCTGAAATAAGTCTTTGCCACAGGAGAAATTTTCTAAATGATTTCTCTAATGGGAAAAAAAAAAGTTTTATGAAAAACATTCAGGTTTGAGTTTTTATTTTTATTTTTTGTTTCAAATTAGGAAGTATCAATTAACTCCCTGATATAAAGATGAGGACAATTACAGTCTTACCCGTTTCTCCTGCACCGTTATCCCCCGTCTCCTGCAATTTTTAGTTATATTAATGTTTTTACTTTATCTAATTTTAAAACATTTACACTCTGTAACCGTAATTCTCATAGAGTGTTTGTTTCTGTGTAGATATATATTGTTGTTGTTGTTAGTTGCCATTGAGCCGATTCTGACACGTATCCAGAGTAGAATTGCTCTGTAGTGTTTTCAAGTCTGTAACTTTTCAGTAGCAGATCATAAGGCCTGTGTTCTGAGGTGTCTCTTGGTGGGTTCAAGCCACCAGTCTTTTGGCTAGTAGTTGAATGCTTTTACCATTTGCACCACCCAGTAACTCCCATATTATATATAGATGTGTTTATATAGAGATATGTTAGTGTCTATATGAACAAATTCAGTGCTCACCATCAACCCTTTTACCACATCTTTCCTGAGTTTTCCCATTTAGATTCATTTTATGACTGGTTGGAATTTATCATCAAATAATTTTGTTTGTTAGTGTTTTAAAAAGTTTTCATTGTTGCTGTATTGCTTGATTTATTTCTGGTATTATTTATTTTTCCTTTATATTTGAGTAAGATCTTAATCTTGATTGAATATGATATTCTTGGATCCTACTTCTTTGGTAGACATTGTTCCACTGTTTTCTATTATTGAAGAAGTATGACTTCAGCCTGATTCCCACCATGCCCCCATCCTATAGTTAATTTGCTTTTTCTACCAGAATGTCGGAAAAATCTTCCTGTATCCTTGAAATTAAATGGTTTAACTGAGGTATGTCTTAGTGTTGAGTGTTCTGCAGCAGATTTTCCTGTAATGCACTGTGTACTTTCAGTGTGTTTGGCAAAATTATTCTGAATTATATCTTGAGTACTTCTCTTTGATTTGTTGAGTTCTCTGCTTCAAGAATACTGATTTGCCTTATTGTATTTGTTAGTCTCCCATTTAGTCATCTGCATTGATGTGCTTACCTTAAGTGAATTCTCTGTGTCATAGTTTGATTTCTTTTCTTCCTTGCTGGAATGGATTATAATTTATCCTTTAGCTCTCCAGTAATGTTTCTGGGGTCTTCAATTTGTTTCCTTAGCTATACGGTATTCCTTTCTGCTTTGCTATCATGTTATCATCTTCTGTCTGAACTCGTAGTATGTTGTTCTGTAACAGGAGTCAGCATACTTTCTGTAAAGATCTAGGTACTAAATATTTTTGTGGGTCTTACTGTCTCTGTCAGAACTGCTCAGTTCTGCCATTGTAGTGTCAACACATCCACAGATAGTATATAAACAAATAGACTCAGCTGTGTTCCAATAAAACTTTATTTACAAAAACTGGTGGCAGACTAGAGTTGACCCACATAATTTGCTGACCCTTATTCTATAGCACAAATCAATTATAAGCAATTTTCTTCTTTTTCTTTAGTTGTATTTTCTTTTTGGATGTGTTCTTAATCTTATGTATGCCATTTCCTTTTTTCCCTTTTCTTTTTCACTGTAATATATTTGCATAATTGCTAGGTTATTTCTTTCCACTTTTCTCTTGCTGGGGTGTTTCCAGCTATTTTTTTTTTTTTTTTTTTGCTCAGATATAATGTGGGTAGATGCCTGATTCTCTTCCTACTGTTTCTGAGAACAATTTGTTTTCCGCTCAAAGCTAAATTTAAAACCTAGATATTCGTGCCATTTGAACGTTTCTGAATCTGAGGGAATGGTGAGTCTGAGAACTGGCTGATGTAGTCCATAGTTGTTGGAAGTATTCCTCCTTTTCTGTTTTTTGGAAGAGTTTATGAAGGACTGATGTTAATTCTTTAAACATAGATAGAATTTACCAATGAAGCCATCTGGTTCTGGGCTTTTCTTTTTGTGATTTTTTTGTTTGTTTGTTTTTTTGATTATTAACTTAATCTCTTTTATCTGTTGTAGGTCTATTGAGATTTTCTGTTTCTTCATGAGTCAGTACTTTGTGTGTTTTTAATAATTTATCCATTTCATCTATGTTATCTAATTTGTTGGCATACAAGTTTTTATAGTATTCCCTTATAATAATTCTTATTTCTGTAAGATCAGTAGTAATGTCCTCACTTTCCTTCTGGACTTTAGTAATTTGAGACTTTTCTCTGTTTTCCTTGGTCAGTCTAGCTAAAGGTTTTAAATTTTGTTGGTCGTTTTAAAGATCCAACTTTTGATTTTGTTTATTTTCTCTATTTTTTTCTAAACTTTTTTGTTGAGAATGTATACAGCAAAACATACAATGTAACAGTTTTTACATGTACAATTTAGTGACATTGGTTATGTTCTTTGACTTGTGCAACCATTCTCACCCTCCTTTTCTGAGTTTTTCCTCCCTCATTAACATAATTCAGTGCCCCCTAAGGTTTCTATCTAATCTTTTGAGTTGCTGTTGTCAATTTGATCCCATGTAGATAGTTCTTAAAAGAGCATAATGCTAAAGGCAGATCTTTTCTACTAGTTAAGTTAAACTGTGGTTTGGTTTTAAGAAGACATCAGAGGATATTTTTGGTTTAAGGTTTAAAGATTATCTCAGGACAGTAGTTGCAGGTGTTCATCCAGAAAGCCTGGAGTCTATTAGAATTTGAAGTTCTTTCTGTGTTTTCCCCCTTTTGATAAGGTTTCTTCCATGGAAGCTTTTTTTTTTCTTCTATGCTCAAAATTTTTTCTTTGCTCAAAATGTTCAGTCATGGTAGCTGGGTACAATCCACTTCTGGTCTCATGGCAAAGGAGGCAGTTGTTCATGGAGGCAGTTGGCCACACATTCCATATTCTCCTCCTATTCCTGACTCTCCTTCTTTCTCTGTTGCTCCAGGTGAGTAGAGACCACTTGTGCCTTGGATGGCCGCTTGCAAGCTTTTAAGATTTTCTCTATTGTTTTTTCTATTTTCTCTTTCATTTATTTCTGCTCTAATTTTTGTTCTTTCCTTTATTAGTATTTTTATTAAGTGCTCTTCTTTTTCTAGTTTAAGCTCGAAGGTTAGGTTATTGATATGAGATCTTTATTTTTTAATATAGGTGTTTAAAGCTATAAATGTCTCTCTAAGAACTGTTTTAGTTGCAGCCCATAAATTTTATTGTGTTGTATTTTTGTTTTCATTCTTCTCAAATTATTTTCTAAGTTTTTTTTTTTGTGGTTCCTTCTTTGACAAATTGGTTGTTTAGGACTCTGTTAATTTCCACGTTTGTGAATTTTCAAAATTTTCTTCTGTTACTGATTTCTAATTACAATCCTCTGTAGCCAGTGAACATATTTTGTATGATTTTAATTCGTTGACACTTTATGGCCCAGCATATAATCTATCCTGGAGAATGTTCCACTGCACTTAAGAAGAATGTTCATTCAGCTGTTGCGGGGTGGGATAGTCTATCGATGTCTAGGTCTGGTTGGTTTAGTCTTATACAAGTCCTCTGTTTTTTCTTGAATCTTCTGTCTAGTTGTTCTATCCATTATTGAAAGTAGGCATTTAAATTCTCCAACTGTCGTTGTTGGATTGTCTATTTCTCCCTTAACTTCTGTCAGTTTTTGCTTCATGTATTTGAGGGCACTATTATTAGGTGCATATGTTTGTAATTTTTATATTTTCTTGATTGATTGACCCTTTTATCATTTTAAAATGTCTTTCTTTATTTATAGTAACAATTTTTGTCCTAAAGTCTATTTTGTCTGATATTAGTATAGCCAGTTACCTCTCGTTTGATATTTGAATGCCTGTTACCACCTATTAGGTATAATAAACTTCACATACCTTCTAGTAAGTGCCAGCCACTCTATCAGCGGTTTAGATGTAACAATTGGCGTTTAGTCCTTACAGAAATCCTCTGAAGCTCTGCGAAGCTAAGTAACTTTCCCGAGGACACACAACTCAGAGCCCAGGATTTTAATGGTAATATTATATTGTTTCTGTGAAGTGATTCTCAAGACATGTGACCCATAGACCATCCTTGTGAGAATTGCCCGTGGTGCTTCTTGAAAGATGAAGATTGCTAGACCCCCAGCCTAGACATATGGAACCAAAACCTTTGAAATTTGAGTCTGAGTGTGACTGACGTTGCATAGTTAATACAATAGTTACACAAGCATTGGTCTATGGACTGCTGTTTTCTTAATGACTTGGGCTGAAAAACAAAAAACAATAGGCCATTTCAAATACATACCAAAATATAATTCTACAATTCAAATGAAAACTAACTTTTATCATACATTTTTGTATTTTAGAATACCAAGTGAAACATTAATTCTGAGATAATCTGACAAAAAATTTTCTTTTGTGCTGTTTTTTGTGATTAGTGTAATTCAAAGTAAGCTTTTTGATAAATTACAGATTTTCTTATGTGTAAACTAATACTTTATGTCTTTTATATGTATTATTTTACTGTGAACTAGCATGTATTCTTTACATTAAAATTTATTGGAAAATGCTAAGCAGTGAATAAGCAATCTTTATTTTAGGTTGAACTCCCTCCACCTGACCTTGGACCAAGTTCTGCACTAAATCAGACGCTCATGTTGTTGCGTGAAGTTTTGGCATCTCATGATTCTTCAGTCGTGCCGTTAGATGCTCGCCAAGCTGATTTTGTGCAGGTATATTGTCAATTTTTTAGCAATTGCTGGTTGCCCTTCTATTGTACATTCTGTTCACATTCTCCTGGCATTTTGTAACACCATCACTTTCTTTGCTGATTTTTTCCTTCACATATTTAGTCAGTTCTCTTTAAGTAATACAGTTCAGTGTTTCCTGTTTTTAAAACTATTATGGTTATTGTACCATTTAATCTTTTTCTTAGGTGCTTCTGAAAGTTGGCCCCTTTCTATTTAGTTTGACATTAATTCTGAAGTACCATTAGCCCAGGACCATAAGACTAACTGGGAAATAAGAAAGAAATTAGAATCTTTTTGTTCACTTACAGGTTTTATCATGTGTCTTGGATCCTCTCCTCCAGATGTGTACTGTATCAGCCAGCAATTTAGGTACAGCTGACATGGCAACTTTCATGGTCAATTCACTGTATATGATGAAGACAACATTAGCTTTGTTTGAATTCACTGACAGACGTCTTGAAATGCTACAGTTTCAGGTAAATGCTGCTGTAAAATGACTACTGACTGTAATGAAATATTTTTTCTTCATATGATAGTTTTCAGCTGTGGGTTTTAAGCCGATTTCAGTGGCTGAAACCCTGGTGGCATAGGAAACCCTGTGGCGTAGTGGTTAAGAGTTACAGCTGCTAACCAAAACGTCAGCAGTTTGAATCCACCAGGCACTCCTTGGGAACTCTATGGGGCAGTTCTACTCTGTCCTGTCGGTCACTATGTTTTGGAATCGGCTCAATGGCAATGGGTTTCTTTTTTTTTTTCCCAATCCCTGTAAATCCCTTGATGTAGTCTGATAGAAAGCTGTATATATACACATATGTATATGTTTGTGTCTGTGTTTATGTATATCTGTCTGTCAGTCTCTTCAGTATTTCTGTTTTAGCTTTGGAGAAACGAGGGTATATAATGATTAAGATATTTGATTCAGACCATAGTATGTGATGGTAATATGAAGCTCTTCTGATGAATTTGAGCAGTTCTGTTCTGTATGCAGATTTCAGTTTCTGAATTGTGAATAATATGCTATATTTCTCAAGTTGTGTAGGTAGTACAGAAGGTGTGACATAGGACAGATATATTTTTATCTGTGTAAACAGTGTTAGGCAAAACATTACAATTTGTTAAACCGATCACTCTAGTCCTTTAAACCAAATGTGTCATTTAAGAGTCTGTAAGATGGCTAAAGCAAAGAAAAATCTATAAAATTTTATCAAATCTACCAGATAGCTGGGTTCCAATTTTGAAATAATGATACTTAATGGTAGATGTAAAGTTTTTAAAGAAAAAAACGTGTGTCTACTGTATTATGACATGTATGTTAACAGTTTGGCAGTTGTTTATAGTAAGAATTTTAAGTTTTGGGTTTCTTTAAGGAAAAAGTTTTGATACATCTAAATTTGTGATATTTTCTAATTCCCTCTTTTAAAAGAATATATCAATGTTTAAACTGTATTCATGGTTTAAAGTCAAATTATACTTTTTTAAATAAAAATGACAGTCTGCTCTCCCCTTCCTCCAGATTTCCCCTTCTAAAGGACAATCTTTTTAAATTCTTTTGATTACTCCTTTGAGTTCAGAAGTTTTCCCATGATACCTTCAGACACGTCTTGTTCTCCATTGTTTCCACCTAAGTCTTCAGAGATCCATTTCAATCCAAAGATTCTATTCTTTCTTCAGCTCAGAGTTTTCAATTATCTCTTTAATTAGTTTAATCTGTTATTTTGTGTATTGTGAAGCTCCTGTCTTTAGTTGGTTGTACCTCCATTTGGTTGTGTCTGTCCTCTAGTTTATTCTTAAATCTCTTTACATATACTGTATATCTGTGTAAATAATGCACACCTTCTACATTTGTTGCCAGCCATGCCCTCCCCCTGCAAAGTATTTTTGTAACCGTGCTGTACTAATTTTTTTTTTTTAGAGCAACATGTAAAAAAAATTGGCATAGTGGCACTTATGAAAATACTTCGCTGGGGGAAGACGCAGTTGGCAAACAAATGTAGAAGGCACACATTATTTGCATAAAAATGTGGCAAACTATTTCTTTGATGCTTTCTCCATATTTCTTTTTTTCTATTTTTCTTTCACGCCACTAATTTGGCTCTTAGCAGTAATGCTTCTCTTTTTTACTTTCATTAATCTTTACATTTGCAGATCTTGTTTTTTTAATTTTCCAGTGTGTCTTTTGCGGGTTCTAATGGTCTTTCCTTGTGCAGTTACTTAAAAAATAAATAAATAAAGCACTCGGTGTCTTTCATTAGTGTTGCTTCAGAAAAAAATACTTGTTCTGATTATTCTGATGGGTTTCCTCTTAGATTACTAACTTCTTTTAGCTGTAGTTTTTTTGTGAGGAAGGTCTAGCTGTTGGAGTTGCTTGGATAATGGCAAGCATTTGTATGGAGTAGGTACCATAGTTCACAGTGTAATGCGTCACTGACAGACAAGCTGGTAAAACCGGTGGAGCATCCTGGTGAGGAGTAGGAAGACCACCTCCACACTCTCAGGCGTATTTCCCTAGAACTGAGGGAGGAGCAGTGATCCCACCACTACAGAATCCTTCAGTCTATCAGGGTAATCCTCTACTCTGGCTTCTGTCCCCTTAGGAGCTTCCCCAAAGCAGAGGAGCACGTTCCACTCACAGCTGCTAGCCAGGTTTTCTTTGGCAGTTCCTGAATCTGAAATCTTTGACCAAGGTTCTCCTGGACCTTCAGCCTTTCCCCTGGGTTTCACAGACCTGTTTTTGCAACAGGAAAACTTGCTGCCGCAGCCCCCATGGGTAGAATTCCCTCCAGGCTTCTCCAGATAGGGGGGTATTCTGTTTGTTGAGTCAGTCCAGCCAGCTGAGGGTGTGGCGAGGTCAGGAACATCAGGCCCTTATCTTCCCAAAATTCTTTCTAAGTATTTTATTTTGTGTTGTTATTATTGTGTGTTTTTGGTTTGTTTCTTTGTTTTTGCTTATTATCAGCTTTTGAAAGAGCTAAGAAGCAACCCAAACTTTTTTAATAGTGGCTAGGCCTGAAATCCTCTTTGGCTGTCATTTTTTAAAGTAAGATTCTTTCTCCCTTTTGGGAGGACTTCTTCTTTGAAGGAGGAAAAATACCTTGTTACAGAAGCAACCTGTTTGCTTAATAGTATGTAGCACTTGTTGTAGAGGAAGAACATCATAAAATTTACTAAAGCAAAAGAAAGTTTTATTCGGTATATATTCAAAAGGGCAGAAGTGGGAAACAGACAGCCATGCTGCCAGAGCCATGTCTCCCCAAGTCCAAGGAAATATCACAGAACAGACAAAAGTGGGAAAACGGACAAGCATGTTGCTAGAGCCATGCCTGTCCCAGTCCAAAGAACATTACAGAACAGGCAAGGATGGGAAAATGGACAAGCGTGCTGCCACAGCCGTGTCTGCCGAGTCCAAAGAACATTACAGAACAGGCAAGGATGGGAAAATGGACAAGCGTGCTGCCACAGCCGTGTCTGCCCGAGTCCAAAGAACATTACAGAATAGGTAAGAATGGGAAAACGGACAAGCATGCTACCACAGTCATGTCTGCCCGAGTCCAAAGAACATCACTGAACAGGCAAGGATGGGAAAACAGACAAGCGTGCTGCCACAGCCGTGTCTGCCGAGTCCAAAGAACATTACAGAATAGGTAAGAATGGGAAAATGGACAAGCATGCTGCCACAGTCATGTCTGCCGGAGTCCAAAGAAACATTACAGAACAGGCAAGGATGGGAAAATGGACAAGCGTGCTGCCACAGCCATGTCTGCTGAGTCCAAAGAACATTACAGAATCATCAGTATATATTAATATTACAAATAGGCAAAAACATTGAAAGCTTAGCCTATTCAGATTAGCTAGAAACTGCAATCCTAAATTTTGAATTGTCTTTCTTAACAATTGGTACAGGTTTCAGTAAGGAGAGTCAGGAGGGTCTCTGTTGCTCCAACAAATTTCTATTCACTAAATGCTAATAGAAGAAGGTAAGAGTGGAAAGTCTTTTGTGTTCTGTTTGATTGGCTTTATGTGAAAGTTTCCCTAAAAGATATTTTCCAAGATTATCTTAGCTATTGTCTTTATACTTTAGGGCCCAGGTGATGTGTCCTTGTGAGTCCTTGTGGGCCCAGCTCCAGCTGGGTCACATTCTGTGTACTCAAAGAGAGGGAATAAATGATTCTACTATTAATTTCTTAAATCACACTTTAACAAAAAACTCCATAGTGAGGAGCTGAGACTCTGGGGTAGTCTATTACTCTCGTCAGTTGTATCCCTTTTTAAAGATGTTTTCTTTCTCTTGTGTTCTTTTTTAGATTGAAGCACATTTGGACACACTTATAAATGAGCAAGCTTCGCATGTTTTAACTAGAGCAGGCTTGAGTTACATCTATAACACTGTACAGCAACATAAACCTGAACAGGTAAGCAAATAGACTTCCTAGTTAGAGAAATGTACTGGTTTAGAGAATGGGTTCTTAAGCCAGACTCTGGATTTGAATCCTGGCTCCACCACTTAAGCTGTGTGACACTGGGAAAGTGACATCTCTCTCTGTTACCTTCTCTGAAGATGAGAGGTAATGGTAGTATCTGTATCATAGGGTTGTTCTGAAGATTCAGTAAGATAATACAAGTGCAGTTCTTTGATGACTGCCTGACATATAGTAGAGTGTCCCAAAATATTAACTATCCTTATGACTATAGATAGCCTTGGTTAAAGTAATAAAAGTATACAAAAATACTGTTATAAACTGTATAAAGGCTATTCATACTGGTGACTTTTCAGCATCCTCTGTTATTATCCATTAATGCATTGGATAGATTACTGTGTAAATAGCAGTCATTCCCTTTTTTGATTTAGCAAATTGTGGTCTGTTACTTTAGAAAGATAATCATTTCTGGAGTGAGCATATGATCTTGTTAAATTAGAGAACCCTGGGAGATATAGATAATGAAATGGTGGAAACCCTAGAAAACCATGAAAGCATCTTCCTTTAAATAGACAAAGAACTATTTTGAATGACATTAAGATGAAGTTTGCCATGTGTATTTTACACCAGGAACTCTTAAATAAAGCTCTCAATAATCAGTAGTTCTGATTTTCTTTCTTTTGCTATGATAGTATGCAAAGCTCTGCCCGTAGGAACCAATTCTGCTGCCTTTCTATACTTTCTAAAATTATGAAAATGAATCTCGTCAAGCCTCCATGTGTCACTGGTATCTTCTAAGATACTTTATTGCCTTCTTTTTCTTGCTTATGAGTAAATCTGGAGTATCTTGATATTTCCATTGTAATAAATTTGCTTTCCCCTTCCTTCAACAAATATTATTGAGTGCTTTCATGCTAATTATATAAAGTGGAATAAACCAGACGTAGTCCCTGCTTATGTTAGGGTTGAAGAGATGACAGTTGAGTTCTTTGGAAATAAGTTAAATGGTATTCCAAATTTGGGCAATCCACTAACGAACTGTATTCCATAAGTGAACTGAAATGCATATCACTTTTTTTTCCATATTCTTTTCTCTTACTGTTGTTTTTAGGGCTCTTTAGCTAATTTGCCCAACCTAGATTCTGTGGCACTGAAGGCTGCAATGGTAAGTATGTAAGAAAGCATTTGATTTTGATTTAGATTTCCTTATGAAATACTGCTCAAGTTTTCCTGCATGATAATTTTGTCCTGGGTGGTAATTTCTATCTCCTGATATGCAGTATTTACATTGGGCCCAGTCATAATGATTGTGCATGTATGTATTCCTTTCACTGAACAAGTCTGACAAAGACATACATTTGTATTAATATGTCACTATACCTTGGTAATCTTCGTCATTTCTTTGTTATTCACCTGGCACAAAGAAAATGCAGTCCATTCATGTTCTTATGTAGCTCATAGTCTAGTGGGGAATACTTTCCTGTTTTTTTGTATTTACTGTGATTTTTTTGAAAACTGGACATTTGAATATTGTGATAACTCTGGAAATGACATTCTCCCCCTCCCCCAGGGTTTGCTTTTTTTGATTGTTGAAAGCTGTCATGTGTTTGTTCAGTGACTTTTCCAGAATATTTTTCGAAGAACTATATTCCTTGTTGTATGTGATCACTAAAGTCTCTGTTTTCTTTAGTTTGTGTTCATCTAGTATTTTGACATTGATTTCCTTGAACACCAGGAGCTAAATAAATAAGTAGACAAACCAATTCTTCCAGTCTTTGCAGATTGCCTCTGTGGTTGGACACTCCTTCAGCACTTAGCCAGGCTGTTTATAACTCTTCACTTCCTGCTTGCACTGAGCTAGACAGCCTGAGGTGAAAGTTTCAAGTCTTCTCTTTTCTTTTCTGAACATACATCTTGATATAGGCATGCACGTCACTTTCTAAATTTCCCAGTATAAGCAGATGCTTTTGAATGCCCTAATTTCCCAGAAACTCCCCAGCTTTTCCTCTCAGGCCTTAGACAGTCTATTGTATGTCTCATCAGTAAACTTTTACACAAGGCAGGTGTAAGGAAACACATTTGACTTACAGTGTATATGAGCAATGCCCACTGCTTTTCTACCTTTTGTGAGTTCCAAGTTAGGTGAAACAGAGACTAGCACCCTATGTCAGCCCTTAGGTAGCCCTCAGATAGATTAAAACAGAAAAACACAATAATTTTTCAGTAAAGTATGCTGTGCTTCTCTGGAACCAGCGACTAGGTTCCCACACTGGGAACATATGCTGCCAGTGTCAAGACAACCGACAAGAGGAGCAGAGGGCAGGGCAAAGGCAAATAAAAATGCCACAAAGCTCTCCGACCGTTTTTAAGTTGCCTTTTTTTCCCCTTTCATTAGTGTTTGTGTGGTTGCTACAAACCTTTGACTGTTTTCCAGAGTTCTGACAAAGTTGGTTCTGGCAGTTTCTGCTTGTTTTTTGATGTTTTTGTGGAAAGATGGGAGCTTGGATCTCTACCTACTTTGCGTTTTGCTGATGCCACTCCTGCATCTGTGCGTATTTAAAATACAAAAGAATATGAAAATTTGAATAAAGCCATTGGAACCACTTTGACTTTTCAGGTAACTTCCGAGGTTATTTCTTCATTGTGCCTTTTCTTCTTTTTTATAAGCCCCGTTTTTCCATTTCATTTAATATTTCCACCAGCCACTCTATTCTCTTCCACTAAACCTTATGGATTGGGAAGCATTCTCTCCCCTATTTCTCCCTTGTTGCTTTTCCAGATAAATGCAGAATTGTTCTTTATTTTCATAAATAAGAGTAATAAACATAAAGAAGTTAGTTTACATATTATTTTAGACTTCATATTGCCAGATATTTGGTTTATAGTTCTTGACTTCTTCCTGACATGATAAAAACTGAAATTGGATTCCAGTCCTAAAGTATGCTACTTTTTATTTATTTATTTAATTGTACTTTAGATGAAGGTTTACAGAACAAATTAGCTTCTCATTAAACAGTTAGTACATATATTTTATGACACTGGTTAACAACCCCATGACATGTCAGTACGCTCCTTTCTCAACCTTGGGTTCCCTATTACCAGCTTTCCTGTCCCCTCCTGCCTTCTAGTCCTTGCCCCTGGACTGGTGTGCCCCTTTAGTCTTGTTTTGTCCTGTGGGCCTGTCTAATCTTTGGCTGAAGGGTGAACCTCAGGAGTTTCTTCATTACTGGGCTGAAAGGTTGTCCAGGGGCCGTGCTCACACGGATTCTGCAGTCTATGTCAGACCAGTAAGTCAGATGTTTTTTTCAGTTAGAATTTTGTTCTACATTTTTCTCCCACTCTGTCTGGGACCCTCTATTGTGATCCCTGTCAGAGCAGTCGGTGGTGGTGGCTGGGCACCATCTAGTTTTGCTGGACTCAGTCTGGTGGAGGCTGTGGTAGTTGTGCTCTATTAGTCCATTGGACTAATCTTTCCCTTGTGTCTTTACTTTTCTTCATTTTCCCTTGCTTCTGAAGTGGCGAGACCAGTGGAGTATCTTAGATGACCGCTCACAGGCTTTTAAGACCCCAGACACTACTCACCAAAGTAGAATGTAGCACATTTTCTTTATAAACTATGTTATGCAAATTGAGCTAGACGTTCCCTGAGACCATGGTCCGCAGAGCCCTCAGCCCAGTAATACTGTCCCTCAGGGAGTTTGGATTTGTCCGTGGAGCTTCCCTGACCTTACCCTGAACAAGTTGTGCTGGATTCCCCGGCATTGTGTACTGTCTTACCCTTCACCATAGTTACCACTTATTTATTGTCTGTTTAGTGTATTTCCACCCCCACCTCTCCCATCCCTCGTAACTGTCAAAGATTGTTTCTTTTTGTGTGTAAACCTTTTTGTGAGTTTTTATAGTAGTGGTCTCATACAATATTTGCCCTTTTGTGATTGACCTATTTCATTCAGCATACTGCCCTCCAGATTGATCCATGTTGTGAGATGTTCCGCAGATTCGTCATTGTTCTTTATCGTTGTGTAGTACTCCATTGTGTGTATGTACCATAGTTTGTTTATCCATTCATCTGTTGGTGGACATCTAGGTTGTTTCCATCGTTTTGCTATTGTAAACAGTGCTGCAGTGAACATGAGTGTGCATGTATCTATTTGTGTGACTATTATTTCTCTAGGATAGATTCCTAGGAGTGGGATTGCTGGACCATATGGTATTTCTATTTCTAGCTTCCAAAGGAAGCACCGTATCATTTTCAAAAATGGTTATACCATTTTGCATTCCCACCAAAACTGCATAAGAGTTCCAGTCTCCCCGCAGCCTCTGCAGCATTTGTTATTTCCTGGTTTTTTGATAGGTGTCAGTAATGCTGGGGTCAGATGATGTCTGCTTGTGCTTTGGATTTGAATTTCTCTAATGGCTAGTGATCACGAGCATTTCCTCATGTGTCTGTTAGCCACTTGAATGTCTCCTTGGTGAAGTGTCTGTTCGTTTCCTTTACCCATTATTTAACTGGATTATTTGTCTTTTCGTGGTAGGGGTGTTGGATTTTCCTGTAGGTTTTAGAGATTAGACCTTTGTCGGATTTGTAATAGCCAAAATTTTTTTCCCAGTCTGTAGGCTCTCCTTTTACTCTTTTGGCGAAGTCTTTTGATGAGCATAAGTGTTTAATTTTTAGAAGATCCCAATTATCTAGTTTATCCTCTGGAGTTTGTATGTTGTTATTTATGGTTAGTTTCCTGTTAATGCCATGTATTAGGGTCTCTTGTATTGATCCTATATTTTCTTCTATGATCTTTATAGTTTTTGGTTTTATGTTTTGGTTTTGATCCATTTTGAATTAGTTTTTGTATATGGTGTGAGATATGGGTCCTGTTTTACTTTTTTACAGGTGGACATCCAGTTTTGCCAGCACCGGTTGTTAAAAAGGCTCTCTGTTCCTCATCTGATGGACTTTGGGCCCTTGTCGAAGATCAGGTGACCGTGGGTGAATGGATTTACATCTGAGTTCTCGATTCTATTCCACTGGTCAATATATCTGTCGTTGTACCAATACCAGGCTGTTCTGACTACCGTAGCTGTATAGTAGGTTCTGAGGTCAGGTAGTGCAAGTCCTCCTCCTTTATTCTTATTCGTCAGTAATGCTTTATTTATGCGGGGCCTATTCCTTTCCATATAAAGTTAATGATTAGTTTTTCCACCTCTTTAAAGAATCTTACTGGTATTTGGAGCAGGATTGCATTGTATTTGTAGATTGCTTTGGGTAGAATTGTCATTTTCACAATGCTGAGTCTACTTGTCCATGAGCATGGTATGTTTTTCCATTTATGTAGATCTCTTTTGGTTTCTTGCAGTAGTGTTTTGTAGTTTTCTTTGTATAGGTCTTTTACATCCTTGGTTAGATTTATTCCTAAATATTTTATTTTTTTAGGGGCTATTATAAATGATATTGTTTTCCTGATTTCCTTTTTGTCATTCTCTTTATTTGTGTATAGGAATCCAGTGGATTTTTGTATGTTTATCTTGTATCCTGCTATTCTGCTGAATCTTTCTGTTAGTTCCAGTAGTTTTCTCGTGGATTCTTTTGTGTTTTCTATATATAGTATCCTGTCATCTGCAAATAGGGACAGTTTAACTTCTTCGTTACCAATTTGGATGCCCTTTGTTTCTTTTTTTTTGCCTTATTGCTCTAGCTGGGACTTCCACCACACTGTTAAATAGGAGTGGTAGTAAGGGACATCCTTGTCTTGTTCCTGTTCTCAAGGGGAATGTTTTCAGCTTCTCTCCATTAAGAATGATGTTGGCTATTGGTTTTGTATAGATGCCCTTTATTATGTTGAGGAATTACCCTTCTATACCTACTTTATTGAGAGTTGTTATCAAGACTGAATATTGGCTGTTGTTGAATGCCTTTTCTGCATCAATTGAGATGATCATGTGATTCTTTTCTTTCCTGTTATTTACGTGGTGGATTATATTGATTGATTTTCTAATGTTGAACCATCCTTGCATACCTGCTATGAATCCTACTTGGTCATGGTGTATTATTTTTTTGATATGATGCTGAATTCTGTTGGCTAGAATTTTGTTGAGAATTTTTGCATCTATATGCATGAGAGATATTGGTCTGTAATTTTCTTTTTTTGTGGTATCTTTGCCTGGTTTTGG